ATTTAGATAAAGGTAGGGAAGTTTTTATTGTATTTATGGGTTTAGAAAAGGCATATGATAGCGGATAGGGGAGCAATGTGGCAGATGTTGCAAGTATATGGAATAGGTGGTAAGTTACTAAATGCTGTAAAGAGTTTTTATGAGGATAGTGAGGCTCAGGTTAGGGTGTGTAGAAGAGAGGGAGACTACTTCCTGGTAAAAGTAGGTCTTAGACAGGGATGTGTAATGTCACCATGGTTGTTTAATATATTTATAGATGGGGTTGTAAAAGAAGTAAATGCTAGGGTGTTTGGGGGAGGGGTGGGATTAAATTATGGGGAATCAAATACAAAATGGGAATTGACACAGTTTGTTTTTGCTGATGGTACTGTTCTTATGGGAGATTTTAATGAAAAATTGCAAAGGTTTGGAACAAGTTTGGGAGTGTGTGTAAAGGTAGAAAGTTGAAAGTGAACATAGAAAAGAGTAAAGTGATGAGGGTATCAAATGATTTAGATAAAGTAAAATTGGATATCAAATTGGGGAGGAGGAGTATGGAAGAAGTGAATGTTTTCAGATACTACTTGGGAGTTGATGTGTCAGCAGATGGATTTATGAAGGATGAGGTTAATCATAGAACTGATGAGGGAAAAATGATGAGTGGTACGTTGAGGTATATGTGGAGACAAAAAAATGTTATCTTTGGAGGCAAAGAAGTGAATGTATGAAAGTATAGTAGTACCAACACTCTTATATGGGTGTGAAGCTTGGGTTGTGAATGCAGCAGCGAGGAGGCGGTTGGAGGCAGTGGAGATGCCCTGTTTAAGGGCAATGTGTGGTGTAAATATTATGCAGAAAATTCGGAGTGTGGAAATTAGGAGAAGGTGTGGAGTTAATAAAAGTATTAGTCAGAGGGCTGAAGAGGGGTTGTTGAGGTGGTTTGGTCATTTAGAGAGAATGGATCAAAGTAGAATGACATGGAGAGCATTTAAATCTGTAGGGGAAGGAAGGCGGTGTAGGGGTCATCCTTGAAAAGGTTGGAAGGAAGGGGTAAGGGAGGTTTTGTGGGCGAGGGGATTGGACTTCCAGCAGGCGTGCATGAGCGTGTTTGATAGGAGTGAATGAAGATGAATGGTATTTGGGACCTGTCAATCTGTTGGAATGTGAGCAGGGTAATATTTAGTGAAGGGATTCAGGGAAATCGGTTATTTTTATATAGTCGGACTTGAATCCTGGAAATGGGAAGTACAATGCCTGCACTCTAAAGGAGGGGTTTCTGGATATTAGCAGTTTGGAGGAATATGTTGTGTATCTTTATACGTATATGCTTCTAAACTGTTGTGTTCTGAGCACCTCTGCAAAAACAGTGATTATGTGTGAGAGAGGTGAAAGTGTTGAATGATGATAAAAGTATTTTCTTTTTAGGGATTTTCTTTCTTTTTGGGTCACCCTGCCTCAGTGGGAGACGGCCGACTTGTTAAAAAAAAGAAAAGTTTACTGAGTATACCAGGAAAAGTGTATGGTAGGGCTATTATTGAAAGAATTGGAGGTAAGACAGAGAGTAGGACTGCAGATGAGCAAGGAGGCTTTAGAGTGGGTAGGGGATGTGTAGATCAACTGTTTACAATGAAGAATGTATGGGAACAGAATTTAGATAATGGTAGGGAAGTTTTCATTGCATTTATGGATTTAGAAAAGGCATATGATAGAGTGGATAGGGGAGCAATGTGGCAGATGTTGCAAGTACAGTGGACCCCCGGTTATCGACTGGTTTGGTTATTGGCCAACTTGGTTATCGGTGGGTTTTTCAGCACCCGGTTATTGGCCGTTTTGGACGTGTCCATCCGCCGGCTGGGGCAGCTTGCGCTTCAGTTTGGCTTTGTCTAGCGGTGGCTGAGGAAGCCTCTGCTCATACGTTCCAACATTTTGCTTGTTTACCATTGTTTTTAGTGTTTTTTCTTGCAGTGCCACTGTGAAAAAGTAAAGATGGCTCCAAAGAAAGTTCCTAGTAAAGTTCCTGTGGTAAAGAGAGTGAGAAACACCATGGAATTTAAGCGTGAAATGATAGAAAAGTTTGAGAGTGGTATGAAGGTGGTGGAACTTGCCAGGATGTACAGCAAGAATAAATCAACAATTACATCCATCCTGGTAAAGAAAGAACAAATCAAAGATGCTAATGTTGCAAAAGGAGTAACTTTTCTAACTAAACAAAGGAAACCAATAATGGAAGAGATGGAGAAGTTATTATTATTGTGGATTAAGGAAAAAGAATTAGTGGGAGACAGTGTTGTGGAGTCAATCATTTGTGAGAAGGCAAAGCAGTTGCACGAGGATCTTGCAAAGAAAATGCCTGGAACAAGTGCTGCAGTTTGTGAATTTAGGGCCAGCAAAGGATGGTTTGGAAGATTTAAGAAGCGTAGTGGCATACACAGTGTTGTAACGCTACAAGTTCTGACATATGTGCAGCTGAAAAGTATGTTCACGAATTCCAGAACTATGTAGAGGCTGAAGGATTCGAACCCCAACAAGTGTTCAATTGTGACGAAACAGGCCTGTTTTGGAAGAAAATGGCAAACAGAGCCTACATTACCCAGGAGGAAAAGGCACTGCCAGGTCACAAGCCTATGAAAGACAGGCTTACTCTTTTATTGTGTGGTAATGCTAGTGGGGATTTCAAAATGAAGCCTTTACTTGTGTATCACTCAGAAAATCCCAGAGTGTTCAAGAAAAATAATGTCACAAAGAATAGACTGTGTGATGTGGAAAGCTAATCATAAGGCATGGGTCACAAGGCAAATTTTCAGAGTGGGTTAATGATGTGTTTGGCCCAAGTGTGAAAAAATACCTCTTGGAAAAGAAATTGCCACTCAAGTGCCTCCTGGTACTGGACAATGCTCCTGCACATCCACCAGACTTGTAAGACCAAGTGTTTAGGGACTTCAGTTTCATCACAGTGATGTTCTTGCCTCCTACACCAAATATTTTACTCCTTGGAGATTTTAATCTCCCTCATGTAAAATAGAAGATGGCACAACGTAATGTTATATCAGAAATATCCCCGGGAAGCACCCTGGCTCAACAGGTACATACCAGGGAAATAATGAGGTTTTGTGAAAAGTATTCTTTAAACCAACAGGTAATTGATCCCACTAGAAATGAAAATACCCTGGATTTGATATTCACAAACAACGAGGAACTGATCAGAGAGAGAACAGTTTCCAAAACTCTTTACTCTGATCATAACATCATAGAGGTTCAAACTAGTATTAACTCAGGGGTAGGAAACGGCATCGCTAAAGTTAGAGACGGGATGTTCAGTAAGTTTAATTTTAACAACCATAGAATTAACTGGGAAAAAATAAACCAAGAGCTATCAGACATACCCTGGGAATCAGACATGAGCACCCTAAATCCCCACCAGCGCCTAGAGAAGCTGAATATAGACACATACAAAGTATGTATGAAACATATACCTTTGAGGAAACCCAGAGGAAGATCAGATATAGAGAGAGAGTGTAGGAGATGGTACAGAAGAAGAAAACAGGTTACTGAACTGCTTAAAAACACAAATATGCTACAACAGAGGAAAGATAGACTTAGCAGAGCAAAAACTTAGGATGTCATACCTGACAAGCTGTTGGAATGTGAGCATGGTAATATTTAGTTAAGGGATTCATGGAAACTGGTTATTTTTATATAGCCAGACTAGAGTACTGGAAATGGGAAGTACAATGCCTGCACTTTAAATGAGCGGTTTGGGATATTGGCAGTTTGGAGGGGTATGTTATATATGCTTCTAAACTGTTGTATCTGGGTGCCTCTGCAAAGACATTGATTATGTGTGAGTGAAGTGAAGGTGTTGAATGATAATGAAAGTATTTTCTTTCTGGGATTTTCTTTCTTTTTGGGTCACCCTGCCTCTGTGCGTGACGGCCGACTTGTTGAAAAAAAAAAAAAAACATAAACCGTGACCAATCATTCCTGGTTACATTTTATTATCAGATAAATAAGAGTAAATCTGTTTGTGTGATTATGAATTAGAAATGGAAAGCAAGTGTAATGTTGTCAGGGCCTGGGGACGTGATTAATGAACAGAGGAAATGATGTTTTAGTGCCAGGAATGTCATCATTGTTTATTTTTGGACTCTGTTGAAATTTATACATATTGCTTAATTGACAAAACGGAAAGCATACTGGTGAAATAGCTAAGAATTTGGTCTGAAGGAGCAATTGAGGCATAAATTGCACTCAGACTGCCAACTTTGTACTTGCACAATTCTTTATGTTTTCCATCAAGTTTCCTACTTTTGGTGTCTTTCCCTTTAGAAAAAGATTCTCTACCATTTAAGAAGAACTTTTTTTTTTTTAAAGTGGACACAGGGAGCAATATTAATTTCGAGGGACTGGACACTGAAAGGGTTAATAGCACTTGAGATTTTGAAGTTAAGGGTCATGTCCATGCCATGAAGTTTATTCCAAACGTTCTCGAGTAGATTTAAGCCCAGCGAGTTTCACTGAATTCCTTCATAAGTGTTACCTTGTTCACATTTAACATTGTATCAAATTCATAAACTATCTGTCATCACTCCCTTTATTGTAACGTGCTTACTTATGCCTGCTGGAGCATGTTAATTTTTTGCCAGTACAGTACTGTATTATGGTCTGACTCCTGTTTATAACTGTGTTCTGTATTTCCTTATGAATATATTTATTTGTATATTCTAAAAATACTCTCTTGCTCATCTGTCATATCTGTTTTAAATGTATGCATTTTTAATTAATTTTTGTAATTTTGTAAAGTATTTGTAGATCATCATTAAGTTTTTATGCATCTTTAGTAATAATTCCTTTATTATTCTGTACATATTTTTTAATTGAATTTAATTCACTTAAATATTAATGAAAATTCTAAAGCAATATTTAGAATCATTGCCTCATTAAGCCAGGCTGCACATTATATTGAACATTCAAACCATTGTACTGCATTCCAAAGCAAGCATAATTATTTTCTGCCTTTTCAGAGAGAATTCAGGGTGCTAAAACAGTCTGGCCCTCAAAATGTAAGTGCAAGCACTTCATCCAGCATAAAGAGATAATAATCATTTCATTGTATCTTGAGACAATATCTAGAGCATTTTGACTAACAGGGTGCAGTTTGGCAGTGGTGGAGCAGTGGTTTGACCAACCATCATTGCATTTATCATCATCATCATAACAAATTAACTATGCATTTTAAGTAAATACTGTACTGTACTGTACATTCTTTTAATGTTATCAAATAGTCAGTTTATTACCTAGATGGCATTGTTTCATGTTGATTGAATAAGTTTGTTTTTTCTTGTCAGTTAGGGTAAGCTTTATTAGAACCAGTGTTATATATAAATTATTTAAAATGTGTTGCATTTTTTCATCTTTGGAGTGTAGGCCTATCCTCTATATTCCTGAGTGGTTTTTTTTCTTGTTTGTTTGAATTATTTGCTTTAAAATTTATCCTAATTTTTATAAACTTATTGCAATAATATTGTAATCATGCATTTCCCATTTTTTACACATTGTCTTAATTGAATTTTCAGAGTGAACATTTCCCTTTCCTGGGAGTTGGTGTCTCAGTGCAGGAGATGAGAAGTCGAACTTTGTTTTACACATCTTTGGGAAGGTTGCTAATGGTGGAACTGGGGGAGGATGAGGAGAAGTTTACTCAGTTTATGATTCCTATTACTAGTAAGTTATTACTGCAAACTCACTCTTGTGAGTTATTTTGAAATAATTCTTATTAACATTTATAAAATGCATATTTTGTTTCATCTCCAAATTACTCTGGGATGTTATAGGTACTGTTTGTTGGAATTTAAGACCTAATTATTTTTAGGAAGGGTATATAGATATAAAGTTCAAATTGGTATGCTGCCTTATAATATTGTTAAATTTTTTGAATAATGTGTAAACATTGTAGTGATTGTTGAATAATTGTACCAGCATGTCGAGTAGCATAAACATTGTATTGACCACTGGCATGGTGTATTTCATAAGCTTATTCTTCACCGTATTTATCTTTACCCTCTCATGGTACGGTATTAGTATCCTGGTGTTCATTATATACATCAGTTTGTATTTAACTTTTGTGAAATATTCAGTCATAATTATTTGGTGAATGTGCAGGGATGTGAATTATCAATGACATTTTCATTTATAATAAAGGAAAAAAATATGATTGTTGAACCCTCTACTAATACCAAATGCCCCAACAATGGGTCATCTTAATGCAGAAGTGGAGATATGAACTGCTTTTCCCTCTGGGGACAGGTTTTTTCCTAGGAGGGTATTATTGCTTTTCCTGGACAATAGCCTAACTTAAGAACTCAGCAACTCCCTGTGGACTAAATATTGAGTATTTCTCTTTTTGCTAAATTTTCTGAAGAGTGAGAACAGGATTTCTGTCTGGGTCTGATGCCATGTCCCTTCTAATGCAGGATTGTGGTTGCTGTCTCACCACTCGTAGGGGGTTAAATCATTCTAATGGTAGAGGTATTACTAGAGGTTATCTGCTGATACAGAAGTGGTAGCCAGATCTGATTCCTGGCAATATTTTTGGTTTGCCCTCACCCATTATTAGCTGAGTGATGCAAGAATTTGGTAGTTGATTTTTACCAAGCCTTGCTCAGTCAGCTCTGGGGAAGTTATCTCAGCTCTTGGTTTGCGTAGCATGGTAGAAGTGTTCCACATGATAGTTATCATTTCTGTTTACAATGTTGATGGCTTTTGAAGATTAAGTCTCAGCCTTGTAACATTTATATCAACACCTTAACCCTTTCAGGGTCCAGACCCCTGATTGAGAATTGCTCTGGAGGTCCAGGAATTTAAAAGAAATTCTTATGAAATGATAGAAATTTGATAGAAAAATTATGGAATTATGTTCTCACAAAATTAGTGGTCTTGGCGATACAGGTACAACACCGACTTTTCAGACACTAATGGTCCGGAACCTCTTATAATCTGTACAAATTTATGAGCAGGAACTTGAAATTCCTGCAGCCACCAGACTAGTTTACTGAGTGGCCCACAGATGGCGTTGAATGTAGCCTTGCTCGCTTGAATTGTTTACACTGCACCTGCTGGTGGGGGACACCCCAATTCTGCGAGTTTCTTAACCTATTTTGATTAAATTAACCCCGGTTATGGCTTCTAAGGGAGATGAGAGGGAGACTGGTGGTGTCAAACATAAACACCAGTCCGTATCGATTCAAGAGAGAGTTAAACTAGACCGTGGTGCTTCAATGTGTAAGATCTGAAGATTATGGTCTCGGTAAATCAACTGTTTGTTGACCAAAGTGACCACCCCTAGTCCAGAAAAATCAGTAATCCAGAAAAGCTTTGGAACCAAAGGTTCCTGAAAATTAATGTTGTTCCTGTATTTACACCGGCAATTTTGCTCACTTTGAGTCCTATTTTACACCAATTCCATTGCTCCAATTGACAAACTTGTAGCTATTTCAGTAGTATTCCTTCCATTCTGTCAATCTGTCAATTGAGTACAAGGAACTGCCCATTTACCCATTTCAACTACCCGGTAAAATGATCAGAAATCCAAAGTAAAGAGATCAGAAATCGGTAATTTGGTCAATTTCACACAATTAAAAAATTGCCAATTTAAAAATAGGATTCAGAATAAACAGTGTAGACATTCCTTGCACCAAAACAACCTTTCCTCTGTTCATTAGTTACAGCCCCAGGCCTCTCATATTACACTTGCTTTGAATTTTTTATTTTTATTCACACAGAAAAATAGAAGATTTACTGGTATGCAGACTACTGCATTATTGTAATTGTATAAATAGCATCAGCGCATTTGTGAATAAATATTAGACCGACCAGTTGGATGCGTATTGAGCGAGTGACATGATTTGTATCCTCTGGAATATCAGCAAAATTGAACATTTTTGTTATTTTGAGCTCAATTTCAAGCTACTTTGTCCTGAAACCAGTCAAAATCATCTCTATTTCTGTAATATCATACATTCTGTCAAATGATACCAAGAAACTGAGAATACAGCCATACAAACAATTGGAAAATACACTGCAAAGTGACTATTTTAACAGTTTCACTGTCCAGGCCCTTTGATCTGAAACTTGTCCACACTGTCCAAGAATTTAAAAAAAATTTTTTTTTGTTATTTTCTCATATGAAATGGTAGATAATCTTTTTCTGAAGGTAATAAAACAAAAGGTACAAAATTTGATGAAAAATTGATGAAATTAGGCTTTTGCAAATTTCGCTGTGTCGCCCTACTTTGAGTCCTATTCAACCAAATTCTAGCTCTTTCACTAATGTATCTTACATTTTATCAATTGAGCACAAGAAATTGCCCAGTCAACTATTTCAACTACTCAGTAAAGTGATCAGAAATTGGTAATTTGGCCAATTTTACACAAATTTCAAATTATTCCAATTTCAAAATAGGATCCAGAGTAAACAATACAGGCATTCCTGGCACTAAAATAACATTTTTCTCTGTTCATTAGTTATGTTCCCAGGCTTTACACACAAATTCCATTTTGATTTTTTGTTCACACAAAAAATAGACTTTCTGTTATACAGTACTGTAATATCTATAAATAATATCAATGCATTCGTGAACACATATTAGACCCCCAGTTGGACGTGTATTGGACGAGTGACACAATTTATTTACTCTTGAATATTGGCAAATATCAAACATTTCCACTATGAGCTCAATTTCAAGCTATTTTCAGTCCTGATACCAATCAAAATCATCTCTTATTTCTGTAATGTATCTTATATTCTATCAAATGAGACCAAGAAACTTAGAATACAGCCATAAAAAGATATGAAAATACACCGCAAAGTCGCTGTTTTAAACCAACAACACAGTCGTTTTTTTCTCATTATGCACTTAGTGCTGCAGGGATTCTTTTTATGTGATGCACACTTACACATAGACCCAGTCTCTCATGTCTAGGCACATGAGCTGATCTTATGGCATAGTACTACAGCACAGATAGTGACCTCAAAGCCGTAGTACAGTGGACCCCCGGATTAAGTCATCACCAGAATAAGCAATATTTGGAATAAGTAATGTTTTTTTCGTCAAAATATTGGCTCGGTGAATGTTACTGAACTCGGTATAAGTCATTTGTCTGGAACATGTCCATGCGGCCTGAGCGACCCTGACACTCAATGTACAGCCAGTGTGCCAGTGAGGATGATTCCATGCATTCATACGATACATTTTGTAATATTCCATTCTTTTTAGTGCTTGTAACTGCTCAATAAGTCACCATGGGCCCAAAGAAAGCTTCTAGCGATCAGCCAGTCATTTGGTAAAGGGCTGAGAGAGAGGGGAGAATGTGCATTTTTCAGTGATTCTGCAATATGTATGATACTAAAGCAGCAGGAGTTGATAAAGGCTATAGCGCCAGCCAGTGATAAAGTGTAGCATTAACAGTGTAGCAGATAAGTTAAGCAGTTAATCGATAGAAAAAGGACAGCATGAAACTGACTCCTCCATTGTTGTTGGAGGTATATAGGGCTACTGACTAACATGACTAACACCGCCACCTCTGCTGCCACCTTCACCACCACTATGTAAGGCTTATCTTTCAGTGGCCCTTATACACCCAACAACAAACAACATAATACACCTCGTAACATTCTTAATGCCATATTTTATTCATTCTAGAGTATATATCATGTTTCTATGTCATTAATATTGTCTATTATGTCATATTAGATGATTGGGCTAGATAAATCAGCCATAGAGCCGATATTAGTGTCATCTTGAAGGACTATCTTGTCCTGTCTCCCAACACAATTCCTAACTTACGCCAGAAACAAACCTCTCTGGAACACTTTTATGAGCAACAGGGGTCCAGTGACTCAAGCTGGTCCTAGTGGCATTAAATAACAAAGAAGGGAAGTAACCCAGGATAAGGACTTGCTACCTGAAGTCTTTGTGGAAGGGGATTTCCCTTCCATAGAATTGTAAACTCCTCCATCCTCTCCCCTGTTCCCATCTTCCTTACATCACCATGTCTTCAATAAAGGTAAGTGTGGTATTGTTATTCTTTTATTCTTCATGTATCATTGTTTTCTGTGTAGGTAAATGTATATTTCATATAGAAAACATTTTTTTAATTGGATTTTCATTATTTCTTATGGGGAAAATTAATTCGGAATAAGTCAGGTTCGGGATAAGTCGCTCTCTCTGGAGTGGATTAATTACGTAATCTGGGGGTCCACTGTACTACAGTACAGCCAGTGAAATGGTTAAACCAAATTCATTGTTTTTATTCCTCCTCTTTATGCACTGCATGGGACAGGATTTTTTTTTATGTGGTGCACACTGCATAGATCCATTCTCTCATATCTAGGACCAGATTTACCTCTCACTGCTTATCTTGAGTGAGCTGAGATCATCATGTAGTTCTTTGGCATATACCCATAGCTCAAAACCATTGTACTACAGCACAGACCTCAAAGTGGTTGATGTGCATAGGTCTTGGTACATTCCCTCTCCATTTTACCCAGACTTGGGTGAAGGTGCCTAGTTTCATGTGTGCTGCTTCATATGAGTATCAGGTGACATTGTTGGGATGGTCTTTGGTCAGACTCTGACATGGAGCATCCTTCCAAAGAAGCGTGACACATGCATGTGAGCACTGGATATTGTAAAGGTACTTTCATACTGGATGATGCTCTGAAACTGTACACGGTCTTGTCCTGCTCCAGGCTCATGTATGATTGCCATGTTTTCCTGCTGCTGTAGCATCTAGATATTTGGTTTTGCACTAGAGCATTTCATATATTACTTGTTACAAGCATACGTCAATTCTCTCAGGTTCAAAAGTGTAACCATGTACTAAAAGTGCAAAAATTAATTAAAAATGTGGAAGAACAGCCTCATCAATTTCACTCTTTCACTGCGACAGCTATCTATAGGATTGTCCTGATGTCCACAGGGCATTCTCCCCAAATGAATTCTGTCTACCTTACTACAGTTAGTTTCGGTTACATTAATTTTTTCCAATAGCTACTTGTTGGCAGGTGCTCTTACCCCTTACTGTATAGTTTGTGGTATGTAGCCAAGGAGCAAATTTTTAGCTGTTGCCCATGACTTCGGGCTTTTTGCTTACTTGGTGAGTTTGATAATTATCAGGGTGCCTGTGGGATTTTAAGCTGTTACTGGTTATTTTAACCCATTCACTGTCTTTCACGTACATTGTTATTGAGGTCAGTAGCATTTGCATAGAGCTACTTCTTAATTATAGTGCCTCACAATGCTGTGAGAGGTAAATTTTGGTGTAAATATGAGAAAATGGGTTTGTGCAGTGGGTGTGCACATTACAAAAAAAAAAAAAAAAAAAAAATCCTGCTACACAGTGCCTGATGAAAACAGCTAGCCTGTAACTTGGAGTTTGGTTTAAAACAGGGGCTGTGAGGCATCTTTTAGGGTGGTTTTCATGGTTTTATTTGCTGCTTCCTGGTATCAGTTGATATAATGGAAGGCATAGGGAAATGGAAAGATGATTTTGGTCAGTTTCAAACTGGAAGTGGCTTTAACTATGCCACAAAGTAGCATATGAGATATAAAATTTTTGGTGATTTTTCTGTGGATGGGTAGAGGCCTTGTTACTTTTTGTCCAAGTCTGTTTTAAGAGTTTTTACTAGGTCTTCAATTATTGGGACTGTCTAAATCATGACCAATCATTCTTTGTTATATTAGTCAAGAAAGAGGGTAAAACTTAAATTTTTTGTGATGGATTCAAAATGGTGGGCAGTTGTTTCATAGGAGAGGCCTAGGGATTGGATTAATGAACAGGGGAGAGGTTGCTTTGGTGGCTGGAATACCTACAGTGCTTATTTTAGATTGTTTTTAAACTGGTATTTGTTGAATTTTGTGTAAGACTGGCCAAACTAATGATTTCTGTGTATATTATAGGGTAGTTCTCATAGTTCTTACATTTAGTAGATGTAAGGCATACTAGTGAAATTGGGTTGGTTTGAGCAATGGAATTGGCCTAAAAAGAGCTTCAATATGGATTTACCTGAATCCATAAACAAAATGTTTCCTTGCTCACACTCCAACAGTTCAAATCCCAAAAACCATTTATCTACACTCTGTCTAACTACTGTATCCTATTGTCTTAATTTAAAAATGCCATTTATAACTGAAGTTTCTGTATGTAGGTATATGTTAATTTTACCATGGTTGTTTTTAGCATGGTGTAGATAAAGCAATATATTACTTCAATATTATTTTAGCAAATTGTTTCTGCTTCTAGAAGTTTTCATTCCATTTTTCAAATAGAAATGTTGGATTAACTTTATGTATAATAGGCAGTTGACCTTGTTTCTTGCATCATTAAAACATAAATATACATTTTTCTATTTTCCTGTTCAGTATTAACAATGTTTTCTCTTCAGGTGCTTTTGACAGTGTAGGTAGACTGCTGGCACAAGCAGAAACTCCAATGTTCCAGGCAGAAGAAGCGAAGAAAGGATTAATAGGCCTTGCAAGGGATTTACGTGGCTTAGCATATGCATTTAACACAAAGACATCCTACATGATGCTGTTTGATTGGATGTATCCTTTAAAAGATTTGTGCTCATAATTAATTTTGTATAATATATTACTTTCACACATTACCAAATATGATTAGGACAGGTTGAAATTGGCATTTAGAAAAGTGAAGGTGAAATTAAGTTATGTTTATGGTGGTGCTACTAAATTTTATGGTCATCATTCTCCATCACTTTATACTGATTCTACTAATTCTACTGACAAAGGGTCCAAGTTGTGTTATTTCTTATTTATTGGCTAAAATAGGGAAATTATCATTACAGTCATTAGCTAGGAAATGTATCCAAAATATTAAATTTTGAAATCTCCTTGACAATTTCTAACAGATACCCAACGTACACTGGTGTTCTGGTAAGAGGTGTTGAAATTTGGAGTCATGACCCTCAGGTTACCACCCCGGTACTCAAACTCTTTGCTGAGTTGGTACAAAATAGATCTCAAAGGCTCCAGTTTGATGTCTCATCGCCTAATGGTATCCTACTTTTCCGAGAGGCCAGCAAAGTCATCTGTACATATGGTAGGAGCTACATCCTGTGTATAGAGTATTAGGCTTAAGAATATTTTACTGCAAAACTTGGCTTTTGTGTATATTTTATAGATAACAGACTTATTGTATAATAGTCTTTATATATAATGCACTCAACACTAATACAATATTGTGAGAGCTGTGATGTGAAGAGAGATACAGTTTTAATGGTAAGAAATATGTAAGATTGAAATATAAACAAGACTAAATGTATATCCAGTTCAATCTCCACAGTGGGTGACTGCTGCTTCTGCTATCTTTGTTTGCAGGTATGGATGCTAATGTGTTTCCATTGGTATTGTTTATGATACTGATTATGGGTTGGATTTCCATAAGAAACCATACCATAGGCAGGACTTTAACCCACGGTTAGAGAGTCGTAAAACTCCAGACCGACGTGTTAGCTACTGGGCCAGCTGGCTTCAGTCTGGAGTTTTACGACTCTCTCATCATGGGTTCAAGCCCTGCCCGTGGTGTGGTTTGTTTGCAATTGTCATTATTATTTTGTGAGTCATTTCCATAAGTATTTTTGCTGAAACTTGAATTTGTTGATGTGTATTCTTGAGCTGTCAGGATATCAGATTTGGATGGGAAGGATACTAAATATGTGGAGGGGGAAGACTTAACTCTTTGACTGTTTTGGTCGTAATATACGTCTTAGGAGCCACCGTTTTTGATGTATATATACTCGTAAATTCTAGCAGCTTCAAATCAAGCAGGAGAAAACTGGTAGGGCCCACATGTGAGAGAATGGGTATGTTTGGTCAGTGTGCAACGTATAAAAAAAATCCTGCAGCACGCAGTACGTAATAAGAAAAAAAACCTCCGACCGTTTTTTTTTTAATTAAAATGCCGAATTTGTGGTCTATTTTCGTATAGTATTTATGATTGTATTCTTGTCTCTTTGGTCTCATTTGATAGAATGGAAAACATATTATAGAAATAGAGGTGATTTTGATTGGTTTTACTACGAAAAGAACCTTGAAATGGAGCTCAAAGTAGGGAATATGTTTGAATTTTGCCGATGTCCAAAAGTAAACAAATGTCATTTTCCAATAAATGTCCAACTAGCCATTCTGATATGTTGTCATGAATGGGTTGACATTATTTATGCCATTATTACAATATTGCAGTAGTCTGCATAACAGTAAATCTTCTATTTTTTGTTTGAATAAAAATTCAAAATAGAAAGCAAGAGTAATATCAGAGGGGCCTGGAGATGTGACTGATGAACAAAGAAAATGTTATTTTAAAGCCAGGAATGTCTGCATTGTTCATTCTGGACCCTATTTTGAAATTGTCATATTTTTTAATTTTCGTGAAATTGGCCAAATTGCAAATTTCTGACCACGTTATTGGGTAGTTGAAATCGGTAAATGGGCAGTTTCTTGTACTCAGTCGATAGAAAAAATGGAGTCCTAAAGAAATAGCTATGAGTTTGGTCGACTGGAACAATGGAATTAGCCGAAAATAGGGCTCAAAGTGGGTGAAATCGCCGATTAGTAAATATTGCCGAGGTCGCTAACTTTGTGAGAGCGTAATTCCATCAGTTTTCCATCAAATTTCGTTCTTTTGGTGTCATTACAATCGGGAAAAGATTCTCTATCATTTCATAAGATTTATTTTTTTTGGAAATTTTGCGACACCAGGAGACACCTCAGGATTTGGGGTTGCAGCAGTCAAGGGGTTAAATAAATCATCTTATGTAGGTAGGATTTGATTTTCGCGTGTCTGTATGCTCTAAAACGTTTGTGAAAAATTAGTGTAATTCCTTGAGGTTATTTGAGTTTGTGATTATAAGGTATTAGAAAGTATTTTACTTCTTCTTTCAACAAACCAGCCATATCCCACCGAGGCAGGGTGGCCTAAAAGGAAAAACGAATGTTTCTCCTTTTAAAAATAGTAATATATACAGGAGCTTTGATTACTAGCCCCTTTCTCCCAGCATTTTAGTCGCCTCTAACAACATGCATGGATTAAGGAAAAAGAATTCTATTCTACTTCCCCATGGAGATAAGAGGAAATAAACAAGAAGAAGAAGAACTAGTAAGGAAATACAGTGGACCCCCGCATAGCGACCTTAATCCGTGCAAGAGGGCTGATTGTTATGCGAAATGTTCGGTATGCGAATGAATTTTCCCCATAAGAAATAATGGAAATCAAATTAATCTGTGCAAGACACCCAAAAGTATGAAAAAAAATTTTTTACCACATGAAATATACGTTTTCCTACACACAAAGAGAAGGATACATGCACAATAGTAGAGTAGTACATGCACAATATATATTGTGCATGTACTACTCTACTAAATGAAGAATAAATGACACCTTTATTGAAGATGCAGCAATGACTGATGAGACACTGTGTCCTGGGAGTGCCTTTTCCTCCTGAGTACTGTAGGTCCTGTTTGGCATTTTCTTCCAGAACAGGCCTTATCACACTGTGTATGCCACTACGATTCTTAAATCTCTCAAACCAACCTTTGCTGGCTTTAAATTCACCAATATGAGCACTAGTTCCAGGCATTTTTCCCTGTTCACCTGGGTGTTAGTCGACTGGTGTGGGTTGCATCCTGGGAGACAAGATTAAGGACCCCAATGGAAATAAGTTAGACAGTCTTCGATGACACTGACTTTTTTGGGTTATCCTGGGTGGCAAATCCTCTGGGGTTAATTGTTTCTTGGTATTCTCAATAAGCCACACCAACAACGGTGCTACAGCAGCAGCAGCAGCAGCTGACGGTGGTACAGCAGCAACAGACGATGCTACAGCAGCAACAGACGATGCTACAGCAGCAGCAGACGATGCTACAGCAGCAGCAGCAGCTGACGGTGGTACAGCAGCAACAGACGATGCTACAGCAGCAACAGACGATGCTACAGCAGCAGCAGACGATGCTACAGCAGCAGCAGACGATGCTACAGCAGCAGCAGACGATGCTACAGCAGCAGCAGACGATGCTACAGCAGCAGCAGACGATGCTACAGCAGCAGCAGACGATGCTGGGTTAATTGTTTCTTGGTATTCTCAATAAGCCACACCAACAACGGTGCTACAGCAGCAGCAGCAGCAGCTGACAGTGCAGCAGCAGCTGACAGTGCAGCAGCAGCTGACAGTGCAGCAGCAGCTGACGGTGGTACAGCAGCAGCTGTACCACCAATAGTAGCGATGGTTGATTGGGGTGTATTATACAACCTGGCCAGCTCGGAGACACGCACTCCACTTTCATACTTATCAATGATCTTTTTTTTCATCTCTATAGTAATTCTCACCCTTATTGCTGTAGGATTGGCACTAGAAGCTTTCTTGGGGCCCATGGTCACTTATTTTCCAGAAAAAATCACCAAAAACACTGTAATGATACGAAATGTTCCGATTGTATGCTTGGATGTTACCGCGGAGGCTGGCTGGTAAACAATGCCACCGGCGGAACTTGTGAGCGTGGCTCAGGCCGCACATTGGACGCGTCTCGGACGAAGGGCGGTGAGCGGGTTTTTGGGTGGTATGCGAGGCAAAATTTTTGTGAAAAAAGCGAGCGGTATGCGGATTGTACAGTATGTGATGCGTGCAGTATGCGGGGGTCCACTGTAGAAGAAAACCCAGAGGGACATATGTGTGTGTGTGTGTGTGTGTGTATATATATATATATATATATATATATATATATATATATATATGCTTGTCTATGTATGTGTAGTGTGACCTAAGTGTAAGTAAAAGTAGCAAGATGTTCCTGAAATCCTGCATGTTTATGAGACAGAAAAAAGACACCAACAGTCCTGCCATCATGTAAAACAATTAAAGGCTTCCATTTAACACTCACTTGGCAGGACAGTAGTGCCTCCCTGGGCGGTTGCTGTCTACCAACCTACTACCTAGGGTGGATTTGCTTATATGCAGTAAAAAAAATTTACTCTTATACCCTTGATCCATTAATGAGTCCTGAGCTTTTTTTTTTTAACTTCGAGCCCAGCCCTGGGCCAGGCTTGTGATCAGAGTGGGTGCTTGTGTACTTTTGGCTCGTCTTCAGTGGGAGTGGGTGGTCTCTGTACACTTTAAAGAACAAAGATTTTATTTCCTAGGTAGTAGGTGTTAGACAGCGACTGCCCAGGGAGGTACTACCGTCCTACCAAGTGAGTGTAAAACGGAAACCTGTAATTGTTTTACATGATGGTAGGATTGCTGGTGTGTCTTTTCTGTCTCATAAACATGCAAGGTTTCAGGTATGCCTTGCTACTTCTACTTACACTTACATAACACTACACATGCATGTACGAGCATATATATACACATCCCTTTGGGCTTTCTTCTATTTTCTTACTAGTTCTTGTTTATATCTGCTTGGGAAAGTAGAACAGAATTCTTCCTCTGTAAGCCATGCGTGTCATAGGAGGCGACTAGAATGCTGGGAGCAAGGGGCTAGTAACCCCTTCTCCTGTATACATTACTAAATTTAAAATGAAAAACTTTCATTTTTCTTTTTGGGTGGCCCTGCCTTGGTGGGACATGGCCAGTTTGATGGAAAAAAAAGCTTCACACCCATATAAGAGTGTTGGTACTACTATACTTTCATACATTCCCTTCTTTGCCTCCATAGATAACGTTTTTTGACTCCACATATACCTCAACGTGCCACTCGCCTTTTTTCCCTCATCAATTCTATGATTAACCTCATCCTTCATAAATCCATCCGCCGACACGTCAACTCCCAAGTATCTGAAAACATTCACTTCTTCCATACTCCTCCTCCCCAATTTGATATCCAATTTTTCTTTATATAAATCATTTGATACCCTCATCACCTTACTCTTTTCTATGTTCACTTTCAACTTTCTACCTTTACACACATTCTCAAACTCATCCACTAACCTTTGCAATTTTTCTTTAGAATCTCCCATAAGCACAGTATCATCTGCAAAAAGTAACTGTGTCAATTCCCATTTTGAATTTGATTCCCCATAATTTAATCCCACCCCTCTCCCGAACACCC